TGTGTGTGTGTGTGTGTGTGTGTGTGTGTGTGTGTGTGTGTGGTGTGTGTGTTTCCTGGTACTGGGGATTGAACCCTGAGCCTTTGCACTGAGCTATTATCCCAGTCTTTCTTCTTTTGAGATAGTCTTACTAAGTTGCCCAGGCTGGGCTGGAACTTACAATCCTCCTGCCTCGGCCTCCCATAGTGCTAAGATTACATGCATGTCTTACACGTAAAAATATTACAATGAAGAACTATCTTCGTCCCAACCACTTACTTTCTTTATATCCTTTAGAAGTATAATTGTTATTTTCAAGGGCTTTAGCCAATCCCTAGAGAACACCTATCAGAGAGGTTTTTTGTTTTCTTGTTCGTTTGGTTGGTTTTTGTGTGATACTGGAGAACACCTGTCAGAATGTTTTGTTATTGTTATTGTTATTATTTTGTTTTGTTTTGTTTTTTGTGGTACTGGGGATTGAACCCACACTGGACTACACACTCAGCCCTTTTTAATTTTAAATTTTGAAACAGGGTCTTGCTAAATTGCCCGAGCTGAGCTCAAACTTGCATTCCTTTTGCCTCAGCCTTCCAGAGTGCTGGGATTGCAAGTGTGCACCATAGTGCCCTGCCAGAGAATATTTTCTTTTTAACAAGAGGAAAATTTGAAATTTCCAAATCTCTTTCATTTTAAAAATTTACAAGAGGGCCTTGGATTTAGCTCAGCGGTTCTGCCACCTGCCTCACAAGCTTAAGGTCCTAAATTGCTCCCTGGTACAAAAAAAAAAAAAAAAAAATCACCAGAGTCTCCAATTCTTCTACATGCACCTTTGAAAAATGTAGACATTCTAGATTTCTATCATGTTTGTAGTAGTCTTTCTTTTTTCATTCCTGATTTTAGTAACTGATTTTAGTAACTGAGGTCTTGTAAGAAGCAGCCTATGAGTTTATCTTGAGTTTATCTTGATCATTCATGTCAAAGAACCAACTTTTGGTTTTCTCTGTTGTTCTCTATTTTGTAGTGCATTTATTTGTGCTTTAATCTTATTTCTTTCCTTCTGATTGTTTTGGATTTAGTTCTTTTTCTGGTTTCTTAAGGTGGAAGAGTAGATTTGAGATTTTTTTAATATAAGTGTTTATAATCATAAGTTTCTTGTATCTTAGTAGTCAATATTAATTTTATAAAATATTGGGTTTAAAAGTGGTATTTTTATACATACATGTAACATTTTGATAGTATCCACCCCATACTGCCTTTTTTTACATCCCCCCCTCCTTATTGCCTTCCTCTCATCTAATAATTTTTTTCCTTTTAAGCCAGGCATGGTGGCACATACCTGTAATCCCACCTGTAATCTCACCTGTAATCTCTGCAAGGGTGAGGTAGGAAGATCACAACTTTGAGCCCAGCCTGGACAATTTAGCGACTTAGTGAGACCCTGTCTCAAAAAAATAAAAAAGAATCAGGGATACAACTCGCTGCAAGGCCCTGGATTCAATTCCCAGTACTCAAAAAAAAGTCTTTATTTTTGAAATTTCTCATATTAGGAAAAATGTGATACTTGTCTTTCTGAGTCTGGTTTATTTAATTTAGTAAGATGATTTCCATTTCATTCATTTTCCTGAAAATGACATAATTTTGTCCTTGTTTGTGGCTAAATAATACTTTTTCATATATATATATTCTTTGTCTGTTCATCAGTTAATGAGCATCTAGGTTGGTTCTGTATCTTGGCTACTGTGGATTATACCGCAATAACCATAGGTATGTGGGTATCCCTATATTACACGGGGTTTAATTTCTTTGAGTATATACCAAGGAGTAGTATAGCTGGGTTATATGATAGTTCAATTTTTAGTGTTTTTAGGAATCTCTTCTGATTTCCATTGTGGTGCACTAATTTATTGATTGATTTATTTTGGTACCAGGGATCGAACTTGTGTCCTTGAGCTTGCGCAGCAGGCGGCGAAACCACTGAGCTAAATCCCCGGCCCTAGCATTTACTTTTTGAATTCTTGATGATAGCCTTTCTGATTGAGATGAGATGTAATTTCAGCATAGTTTTGATTTGAATTTCCCTAATGGTTAAAGATATTGAACATTTTTTCATATATTTATTGGCCATTTTGTGCTTCTTCTTTTGAAAAGTGATTGTTTTATTCACTTGCCCATTTATTGATTGAGCTATTTGGGGTGTATTTTTTGGATTCTTTGTATATTCTGGATATTAATCCTCTGTCAGAAAAGTATCTGGAGGGATGGGGATTTAGCTTAGTGGTGCTGGCGCCTGCCTCGCAAGCAGCTGGGGATTTAGCTTAGTGGTGTTGGTGCCTGCCTCGCAAGCAGAAGGTCTCAAGTTCGATCCCTGTTACCAAAAAAAAAAAAA